CGCTAGATTGGGGCAAATTACCCTGATTTAGAGATTTGCACGGTCTGTCCACTACTTTTCCTCCCTGCTGTTATGCCATTTAACCCAGTGTAAGCAGGTCATCTATCCGCACCCTCATGTCCATTCATAGCCCTGCTGGAGGTGACTGCTCACCTGGGGTGACAATCTGGCTGTATGCCCCAGCAATACTTCTTGTAAGGATAAGGCACCATGAGAAGGTCGGTTGCACCCTGGCTCCAGCCTCTGTTGAGCTGAGTGGAGGCCTAGATATGGTGAGGCCAGACTGCAGGTTAGTGCTGGATCCATTGTTACCAGCCCCAGAATGATCTTCCAGTAGGATCAACAAGGGCAAAGCAAGAGCCCGTCTGAAGATGGAGCTTGAGAAATGTATGGATGAGATTCCCTGGCATGGCTGCTCGCGATAACAGTATGGGGGTGAGTGGCCTTGAAGCCTGTGCACCTAGGAGTGAAGTCGAACTGCTGTTAGGATCTGCTCCTCCCACCGGCATTCACACTGAGCAGGGCTGTGCTGGAACCAGCATGCCTGCACGGGCTGCCCAGCATGATTTCAACCAAAGGGAAGCTCCAAGCTAGAAAAGCAGGTTCACACCCTAAGTTCCCAACATTTGATTCAGAAAGGGCTTCAGCCCAAATGGCCACATTGCCCTTGCAAGCCAAATGTGACAGACGGCTGAATGATGAGGACTCGACGGCCCTGCTGGGACCTGTTCTTTGTTCCCAGAATAAGACAAGATGGAAAGTTCTTAGTGAAGCAACTTCAGTTAGGCCTTTAGCGCTTTAATGTGACAGAGATGATTTGAAGTCCCAGCTTAAAAGGATACTGGACAATAAAAAGGCAGCTTTCTATGGATTATGCCTGACAATGCTTCCACTCTCCCTCCTTTGAAGGAAGAGATAATCCTTTGGCCTGAGCAATTCTTACTTCTGCAAGAGCACTGCTACAAAAGCGTTGCTCTGGCCCAATTACAAGCTTCGGAGTGGAGCAGGTTTTCAAATGGGCCAGCAGAAGGGAAGTACATTCATTTTGCTGTGCCCTGCATGGGCTCTGTGTGGGAAAAAACCCAGATTTCTTTCTTTTGTGGGGAGACCTTTAGCCCTGGCACACTGGCTTCCACTTCCTTCAGACGCGTCTGAAAATAACCATCTTTCAATTCAGAGCTGGACTCGGACCCAGCGGAGTTTGGGTGAAGGTGAAAGTTGCTTCCCACTTCCCGTTGCGGTCAGGGTGGGCCCAGGACAAATGAGAGTGGGCAGAGGGCTGCTCCAAGCCATACCAGCTGGAGCGGACACCCTGGGGGCTTGCCCATGGGCACAGGATGGGATGGGACTTAGCACATGCCAGTGCCCGTTCCAGCCTCCCGGTGCTTCATGCAGCTAAAACCAGCGATCCTCAGTAGCGACGCCATCAGGCTCGTTAGCTGCAGTGCCTCAGAAAGCTCTCACTCAATGACCCCAGGCCCACTCTGGCTCAGCGACACCCAAGTCAGCCCCATGCTAAATACCCAGGACAGCTGATGGTCTTCACCAAGATGCCCGACACACCTGGGAAGTGGCAGGCAGAGAGTCTCAGCTCACAGAAAAGCCCTTCCTCCACAGCCCCGTTCAGGCCTTCTGCGATGGCCCCAACCCCGTCAAGCCCCTTCCTGAGACAGGTGGCAAGCTGGAAACCTCTTATAGCTAAAGCGACACGGATGCTTTCAGGTGGCAAAGAAGGGAATTGGTGGGAGGTGAGTGACTGTAGCCTTCCAAGTGCAGCTCCTGGGCACCAGCCATAAGTCCTTTTCAGAGATCACAGCGTTCACTCCCGTGGGCTCCACCAGGAAGTCAAAGGGCTGGTGCACCTGGGGGAACTGTGTGGATTTCAAGTGCTACAGAAACCACCTCCCACCTCCATCCGCACCTGGACTTCTTTCAGGTTGGCTTCTGCTGCTTGGAAAGGGGGTTTAAGCCACTTAAACTGGAATGTAAGTGTCTGTGTCTACGTAGTAGTGGTGGCGAGGGAGGGGATGTTACCAGTGTAATTAGCCCTGTACTATCCCAATCTAACTGTGCCAGCACAACAGGCACAACTCTGGTGTGCCAGGGCATTCTCAGCCTGCACTGTGCATCTGCTACCCATCCAAAATGGGTATTTATAAACCCAGCTCAGCACCTCCTGGCTTATGGAGACAGAATTAATCCACACAGTCCATGCTGAAGGAGCCATCTGAGGCTCAGGAGGAAACACCTGTGTTGTCACAGTCACTGGAAACATTTTTCTTCCCCGTTTTTCCCCCCCTTTGGATCCTCCCTTGCCCCCTCTTCTTACAAACAAGGCAAGCAAAAGGGATTGACACCAGGTGGCATGAGGCAAACACGTGCCTGAAATGATGCTGTGGAGGCTGAGGTCCTGCCACGTGTGGAGCCCCCTCTGCCTCTGCAGTGAGACAGAGGCACTCAGCCCCTAGCAGGATGAGGCCCTCTAACAGAAAAGGCTGGACTCCGGCTCCCATTCATCTGAATTAAAGCAGGAGTAGTCATGGAGGGGATAATGCTATGCCTATGAGCAGGCAAAGAGAGGAGTCAACGTCTCTTCCGATGACAAGAATAATACTTCATGCTGCCACTTCAGGTGCACACAGTGCTACTTCTAACTGCAGGGGAGCATTTAAGCACCATGTTGATGAATGCTGGAGATCAAGAGATGGTATTTAGATGGTGCTTTCCAGCTGCAGGGGGAGTACATACAGCCCACACCCACTTCTGGATTTCCAGGCCTTTGGCAGTTTAAATCACAGCCCCGATGTGCTTGAATAGTTTCTCTCTTCCAGCGCAGATCTATGTCTTAAAAATTTCATTTTCCTATTTTTCAGAGGGTGCTTGTTTCCAACCCTTTCCTTCGTTTCAAATACAGTGAAAACCCTGAAAGTACAAATTTGTTCCCTGCTGGTCTATTACCTGAATCCATCCTTGCACGCAGTACATTTATCGGGGTGGCCAATGCATTTTCTGCAGCTTTGATGACATTTGAGACAGCGCTTCTGACCTTTCAGAAAACACAGACAGTCAGGGCGAATCAAACATGGACAAGAGATGCAAGCAACAGTCACAGCCACAAAGCACAGGGTAATTCATGTTAAAAAGTGCTGGATTTCAATTACTGTTTGTAGGCAGCAGCTGCCGAAGGAGGCAAGCATGCCCTTCAAACAGTCTGTTACAAATGACGTGGGGAAGGGTGGGGGACAGAAGCAGGGTTCAGACTGCGTGGATATGTGGAAGGGCCAGAATAGATATCGACTTGATGAAACTTCTGGGCTGGGGATCTTGGGATGATTCAGATTTAAGATGTGCTTTCTGTTCACGAGTCTCAGATTATCCCCTGCATGCCAACAGGCGATGGGATTAGAAGCAGCATATGTTTTTATGTGCTTTTACGCTCAGAATAGGCCCAATGCAGCCTTCTTTAAAGTGAATGTGAGTTTTTAATAGGAGAAGGCTTAAGCCCCAGATTCCTGGCTCCAGCAGGGTTTTCTGGCCTGCTAGGGTCCTGTGCGGACGTGGGCGTGGACTAATGCCCATCCATGAGACAGGTGAGAAGGAAGCATTTCTATTTTTGCCCACAGCTGGACAAGCTAAAAGGTTCACAGCTAGAGTGCAAGCAGATGGTTATTCAGCGTTTGCTACCTGCAGCTGCATCGAGACAGAAATACCGCGGAGCAAAGCAAAGCGCAGGGAGGGAGGGCTGATGCCAAGACGTGCCTTCATCTAGTAAAATTCTGAATGTTTGGAAAATGTAACTGCTTTCAATTCCCCATCTCATCTATTCAGCCCTCCCCACTCCCACTCCTTCTCTCTCCACTGCCAATTAACCCAAATGGAACACCTTATCTAGGCATAATAATGATAATAGTACCCAATTGATTGCAGCTGCGGTAGTTAATAATAGATTTCTGTAATGCATATTGTATGGCTCTAGTTAGGGTTTCTATCATCAAACTAAGGATGGTGGATAAGAGTTTCACGGCTAGGAATTCAAGTACTTAACCCTCACAGACTTTCCATGGGAATTAGGCATCTAATCTTTGGCTGATGTTCCCTGCGAGCCCAGAGCTGGAAGCATTCCGGAGACTCAAACCAGAATGCTCCTCTCATCTGCTGCGTGACCTCAACTCACGCAGCAGATGAGGGGGTCGGACTAGATGATCTGCTTCTGACCCTAGAAACTATGAAACTCGGATCCAAACCTTTCCCAATCTTTGAAGGCCTCAGTTACCATTAGTGTTACGATTACCATCACTAGTGGTAGAGACAACGTGGTGCCAGACCTACAGTGACCGCAGGAGAGGTCTGTCTGAGAAGACTATGGTCTGGGGCTCTCAACCTTGCGCACCCTGCATTGACAGCTGAGATTGCTTAATTTTTTCCAATCTTGGCCATTCAACAAAAAACACTTGCATATCCACATGCTAGAGTGCACAAAGCATTCACATCCTTACGTTCCTCTGAGTAAAACCCAGCTGGACATAGCATCGCACACGTGTTCGTTTCCTGATGGTGGTAATAGCCACGCCTGCAAGTCGTGCACTGAGTCTGGCCCCTGCCCATGCAGTTTTCACACCCTTTGAAGCACCTCCGGCACCTTCTTCCTGTGTCGTCCCCAAAAAACCCTGAAGGGCAAGAGTTCACACACATCCTGGAGAAGGGGGACAGCAAAACAACACGACATTAATCATTTTCCTTTTGTTTCCAAACGCCTGATCCTGAAAGACGCATCCAACAGAGATCATGAGAGTGGAGAGTGCTAGACTAGACCAACAACTGCATATCGCAAAGAGATTTTCTTAGAAAACAAAATGGTTTGGTGATACACCCAGGGCTCTAGCTGGTGAGCAAATGGTTAAAAATTCTATTCTAGGTCTTACACTGCCCTCATCAATTCACCACCCTTCACAGCATGGGTGTCCAAGTGCCTTCCCTTTATCCAACTGCAGAAAAATTGCAGAAAAACATACATTTTTTTGCAATTGCTCAGTTGGTCCAATTAAAGGTATCATTTCTGAACCAAGTGTTCTACATTTTTGCATTTCTTTTTGTCTAAGACCAACACGGCTACCAAATACTTCCCTTTTCCATGACTTCTCTTGGGTGGTGTTAAGCATCATTTTTCTCTCCCTTGCTCAGGTACTGAGGGAAGCCCTTCCTTTGGGAGGACAAACACTTTTATGCTTTTATGAACTAATGTTATGCGACTGTCTCCTGGGGCTCCCCATCTGCTGGTCTGCCTCCCTCTGTCATTTCCTCTCTTATACTTGGAAAGCTCTTGGGGCAGGAGCCATTTGTATCTGTACAGCACCCAATACAATGGGGTTCTGATCCAGGAGTAAGGCACTTGGGCATTCATTCAATACAATAACAAGCAATAATAGATCTAGGCTGAACTGGAGGCTGAAGCAAGTTTCCATTGCTTCTTTCCTCTACTTACGCTAACTTGACTTTATTTCTGGCTACACGTATCACCCCTGGAGGAAAGTCCTTGCTGACTGCACCCACAGTCTTCTTTGATGAATCATTCACCAACCCAGAAGTATTCAGAAGTCATCACTATCAGCCAGCAGCTTAGGGCAACATTCCTTAATTTAGGTATTCAGGCAGGACTGCTTTGCAAATCCATGCCCCATCAACTGCTTCTGAGCTATGGCACGTTACGAAGGAGATACAAAGCAAAGAGAAGAGCTGGATGTCAGGACCTCTGGGTGCACATGGACCCAAAAGGAGGGGGTTCTGGCATAGGACATGACCACACACACATGCACACATGTGCACACCATGTTATACTTAGCAGGAACCTGCCTCTTGGCAGTGCAAGCTAAACAGGTGCATGTTGATACTTTAGCAAAGCTGACAAGTGGGTCACAAGTCCAAAAGTGTGGTGCATACTCCCAGCTCATTAGGCCTGGAGGCCCATATTCCTTTGGTACTTCCTGCAAGGTAATTCTCTGTATGCAACTAGCTCACTCCAGTAATCACTGACCCATCTAACCTGCTGTGAGTGCACAACAGTTATCTGAGCAACCAGCTCCCCATCTCAATATCATCCCTTACAGAATGACTGGATCACTCAGTTCTCCCTGCACCTTTTTCAATAATTTTGTCCTTTATTATCAAGGTTTGCACTGTGCAACAGTCGTGGGGAGAGGTCACCCATGTCAGCAGCAAGGATCCTACCAGTTCCCCAGTGTAAATAAGCATTGACTTGACACGTGTTTCAATATGACCATGGACAAGGATATCAAAGCAGTCTAAGTCATTTGGGAACCTAAGTCATTTAGATGCATTGCGGCCTGGGTTCCAGTTAACAGCAGCTAATAGCACTTAAGTTCCCAAGCACATGACTTTGCCATGCAACCAAAGCTTCTGAATCATTGAGGTTTGTTTGAAACTCCCCATATTGTTCTGATTATAAGAAGACCTTGCATATAAGTCAACTTCACATTATCAGGATCAACTTTAAGGAAAGTGGTTTTTTTCCCCCTGAACATGATGATACTCTGCATTTGGACTGTAGCCTGATTGCTGGGGACAGGCTGAGCCTGCACAGTAGTTGAGTAAAACTGTTATGGGTCTGTTTGATGGGAAGAAATGCTGACTTATTGGAATGATATGGGCACATGTGATAACTTCCTTCTGCCATTCATGTTCCAATTTACAGCAAAAATTACCTCCCCTTCCCATTCCTTCTTGCAAAATATATTTTCACATGACTCCTTATGAAAAGAGTCCAATCAGGAGCCCTCCATGTATGCAGAAGGTAAGTACAGCAGAGGGAAGAGGTGGCACAGCAAGCTCCCTGGCTTGGCAATGCCAAGGGTGCCTCTCTGCCACCTAGCTGCTTTGCCTGCCAACCAGAGCCAAGTTGAGTCCAGCCCCCTGGGGATGGAACTGAGACCAGTTCATTTAATTGTACATCAAAAGCATTTCACAATAATTAACTGTCAGACTTCAACCAGGTGACAACAACTTTCAGCAATAAGCTGTCTAGTTGCACTGGAACTAGCCGCCTATTAGGATTCAGATTTCTAGGGCACGCATCAGTACAGTGTCTGAGCACATAGCACCACCCTGCTCCCCTCCACTGAGGCAGGAGAAGCGCCTCACTTCCCATTCACACACGGGTTTTGGAGACATCCAGCAACTTGCTCAAAGTCATGCAGGCAGTATGAGGCAAATCCAGAGAGGGAGAGCTAGGTCTCCTGAGTCCCAGCTCCTTGCCTTATCCACCCACCTGCTCTTTACACAGGGGAAACATGCTCCTTTCCACCTGCAGATTACGACAAGGCTTCTCTTCTACGTGACACCTGATTCAAACCAAAGCACTTACTGAATATTGCTGTGGTATGCAAAGACAGCCCTTGGAGTAAGGCAGTGGGCCAGGACATGGGCGGTGGGGGGTCCTTACAAGCCCCCTCCAAGCTCTGGGCAAATCAAGCAAGGTGCATCCACGCTGTGGTGGCAACTTGTCCATGCCAAGATCTTCCTAAGTATGCTGTACCCAGAAAGATGCCACGGAGGCTGTTCTTAAGACCTTGGGTGCTTAACACAGCCACTGAGTTAATCCAGTGGACCCAGGAGGCAGAAGCAGGTGCATGGGGTAGGCTGCGCAGGGTCCTGGCTGGGATACGCTAACACTGCAGCAGAGACCTGCCTGCAAATCCCCCCATGCCTCAGGGAGTGGTACTTTTACACTACGTGCTTGCTTCGTCTACATGGATTGCAAACTCCTACCACAAGCATATACAGCTCTGTGCACACTAGGATGCTCCAGAAATACAAGGGAATAAAAATAACCACATTACCTGCCAGTTTTAGCACTTCCTAGGCTGTAATGGATGCAGTTCAAGCACTGATCTGCCTTAGGACCATCGCATCCTTGGTCGCCACATTCAGGATGACATGGACCTTAAAGAGACAGATATGTCTGCTGAGACAAGTGGCACAAGAGCTTCCAAGCCCTGCTAGTATCTTCAACCCCCCTTCCTACACAGGTGGGAGCTGCTCAGGGCCAGCGGGGATAGGGGGCTGCCCCATGAGGAGGACAGGATAGGACCCCAATGCTTTTGGAGGGTTTGAAAGGTAATGTGCTCTTCTGGGGCGAATAGCCAGGAAGCCGTTTCCGTCCATTTGTCAGCTGCCCTTTCCCTTCACCCCCCACCCAACCATGTGTGTCAAGAATGCAGAATAAGGAAGTTCCCTTCCTAACACTACACTGCAGGAACTGCCCAGACCCTTTATAAAACCACCTGCCCCAAGGCCCAGAGATGCTGCTGAGGGTGCTCATAGCAGATTCCCACAGGAAGGAGATGGCTTATTGTACCTACATGTCCCCCAATCAAGCCCTTTTCCTTTGCACACTGCAATTTCAGGTCCCTAACACTGAACTGGGCACAATTGTATGCTAGGGCCACCACACATGGATTCCTGATGGGGTTGTCCCTTTGAG